ATATATATATATATATATATATATATATATATATATATATATATATATATGTATATATACATATATATATCATACCTATGTAGATATAATATGTAGATCATATAAATATATTATGTTTATATAATAATATAATATAAATATAAACATATTATACATATTTTATAAATATTATTTAAAAAATTATAAAAATATATAAAAATAATATAAACGCCTTTGTCTTTGTGGTTGTTGCTTACGGCAATATAGTAAACTGCATGCATTATATATAAAAATAAAAAAAAAAAAATAAATAAATAAATAGTATTTAGTAATAAAAAGAAATATAAATAATAAAATAATAATAAATAAAAATATAAACAAACAAATATAAGAAGAAAAAAGAACACACAAATACCTGTATGCATGCGTTTATAGAGAAGCTACCGCGCAGCAGAGCAGCCACCACCATCAACAAATAAAATTTTATTTTTTTGTTTATAAAGAGTTAATTAATTAATATTTATGTGAAAATAAACAAAAAGAAAAATAAAATTAATAAATATATAAATTTATAATACACTAAAGCCCTATATAAGGACCTACGGGGGGGCCCCAGCGCATGCAGGGTAAAGCCATCTGTGCTCGGTTGCTGCTGCTGGGTTTTGTTGATTTTTTCTGCGTTTAATTAATTTAATTTATTTATTTATTTATTTATTTATTTAATTATTTTAAATTTATTTCCGGGATTCTTATTGAGGAGCCAGGGGGTCAGGTCAATACAACAACCGCGCGAGAAACGGCTGCGCAGGGGGGCCCCCAGCATCTGTTTTCTTTCTTTTTTTTCGGTTAGTTTTTCAGTAAATATTATTTTAATTTAATTTTATTTATATTTTTAATATAAATGACAAAAAGGGAGAATTAAAATCTGCTGATCGGTCTCTAACACTGCCTGTACACCGCAGCAGCAGCAGCAGCTGCCTATACACCTCAACACCTGATTCAATATAAACAGCTCAGCAGCTGCCTATACACCCGAAACTTTGTTTTTTTTTTTTCTTTTTTTCTCCTTTTTCTTTCTTTTTCGAGGATATAACGGAGTTTTAACAGCAACTGCATCCTCTTATTGCTGCTTTTCGCTCACATTTTCCACAAAACAGCTGCATATACACCCCAGCTGCCTATACACCGCAGCTGCCTATACACCGCAGCTGCCTATACACCGCAGCTGCCTATACACCGCAGATTGCCGAGCCCTTCAACAGCAGGAACTCCTGACCCTTATACTCAGCGAAATAAAAAAACGAAATAAAAAATAAAAATAAAACAAAATAAATAAAATAAAAAACAAAATAAAAAATAAAGAACAACAAAAATAACAAAATAAGAAAATGTCGCAAAACGTCGAAATTGAATCAGCAGAGTAAACCCTAAACCCTAATCCCTAAACCTAAACCCTAAACCCTTGAACCCTAAACCCTAACCTGTTATATATAATATCTAAACCCTAAACCCTTAGACGTAAACCCTAAACCCTCAACTTGAAGCCTTACCCCCTAAAACACCGTCAGTCTTTACAAAGAGCTTAGGGTTTAGGGTTTAGGGTTTAGGGTTTAGGGTTTAGGGTTTAGGGTTTAGGGTTTTGTGTGTGCAGTGTCATTCGACTGATTCTTCAATTCCTTGCGGAGAGTAATCTACCCAGGACGGTGCAGGTAAATATATAGATATTTATTTTTATAAATATTTATATAAATATTTATATTTATTTATATTTATACTTATATTTATTTCTATCAATATTTATATTAATTTATATTTATATTTTTATTTGTATTTATTTGTATTTATATTTATATTTATTTCCATCAATCTTTGTTTTTATAAATATTTATATCGATATTTATATTTATATTTATACTTACCTTTATATTTATATTTATGCTCATATTTATAAATGTATTTATATTTATATTTGTTTGTATATATTACTTTATATTTTATTTATATGAATATAAATATACATGTAAATAGAAACGCAAGCATAAACATAAAATATAAATACAAGTACTTATATTAATATTTATATTTATAAATATAAATACAAATATAAATATGTATAAAAGTAGATAAAAATAAATATAAATATTTATATAAAAATA